AAAAGGCAGCTCTGTCTGCCTCTTGCTAAATATACATTAATAACACATTAAAATGAGTTGAGGAAATTACATTTAAACCTCCAAAAATATGTGCCTGTTTCAACGTTGTACCACACCAGGCAAAATATAACATATTTGTGCAAACCAAGCAGAAGTCATCAAAAGTTAAGATAACAATATACACAGCTCTAAAAATAAAAATGTAAATTTGGATATGCATTTTTGTAATACAGAAATAAGTTTGTACCAGTAACCAGCATATTTTGTATTTATGCTCAAATAAACAAAAAAAGTATAACTATTTTCATACTTAGTTATACTATTTTTTTACATTGAATGAAAATTTCATCAATCTAATTTGAATTTTTTATGGGGCTTTTTAACATGTCCATTTAAAAAGATTTGTAACTATTTATATTAAATTGAACTACTCTTCATCCGGATATTTTTTCTAAAATGTAAAGATTGAACATTCTTCATAGGATTTTTTTTAATTGTTAAGAAAAATTATTTCTTATGTGTTTACTTTTAATAGTATATGAAATGTCCGTAAAATGAATAGAAATATAAAAATGATATAATAATGACTTTTAGTCAAATGGTAATTTTTCACTTGCAGTATACATCTCTTTCCTAGCAAGAGTATACATCATATCTCAACTGATATTTTCTTTTGGAACCATTTGGAGGGCTTGCCGGCTACAAGATTGAATTATATAGCATATCCATACGTGGAAGAAAGTGAGTACAAAAACACTTAAAGAGGATTATATGTCGCAGCCGCAAAGATGGTGTATGGGACACATAAACACATATCAGTCGAATAGTAATAGATATTATTACTATAATATTCGAGAAAACTACAAAAAATATTTTATCGACATGAACAACAAAGAATAACAATTTTTTGAGAAAAAAAATTTAAAGAAATATTTTAGTACAATTTTGGTGGAATTATAGTTTTAGCAGGTTCGCTCACAAGAGAAAGTGAAAATAGTGATGCACCCACATCCCTTCATAAAACATGTCTGAAATTTGAAAAAAAAACGAAAACGCCGTTCATCGACATTCGAACCCATGACTTGTTTTCATTTTTAATTGATCAATTTAATTAAGTCACAGTTTTCAAATTTACAACAATCCAGAAGAAAACGTTGTTTTCTTCATTTAAAATGTAATGTTGTTATCACAGCAGCAGTAACAACAAACACAACAATAATCACACCAATCAAAGCAGGAAAAAGTTGAAAGTCTGGTTAAATCGGTCGTATACTCTCGGTTAAGTTCGTCTGTTCTCGTCTGTTTGGCTCATCGGTCTGTCCGAGTGTCTCTTGAGATAGTATTATCAGTTCACCACATGCAAAAACAAAGCAATACAAAAAAAAAAAACACGCATACAAACAAGTCGACTATACACAAGCAAATGTTTAATTTGCTACTCTTCGAATGCGATACATATTTCAATTGAAAACCAATACACAAAACAAATACAACAAAAATGTTGATATGCAAATAAAACTGTATTGTCATGAGTAGAGGAGATATATATATATATATATATATATTGATTTCTAAACCAATTCTACGAAATGTCGAAAATGCACCTAAAATTGAAGCACGCACGAAATCGTCACTTTTATTTCTTTTATTATACAAGTTCATTGACCTCTGACTTGCTACGTCCTTGACAGAATGCTAAATACCAATAACATCCAAGAATGTATTTATTATAAGATATATGTTACTTTTATCAGCATCTTATGAAAAATAAGCTCCCTCATAACAGTCCCTAGACAACGGACATGAATAAAATATACAAAGTTTGAAATCATTTGCACCCAAAACAAATCGTTCAGTCTGCTGCCAGACAAAACAATAGTAAACAAACATTAATTTGTTGTTGTATCTTTGCTTCTATTATTGTCAATGAGTGTTGCTAAGTATGCAGTAAAACAAAATAAGAAAAAACACAATTCCCATTTTTTATTCAAATCACGTTTAAGCAGACGACTAGAGGCACAGTGCAAAAAAATATTCGCTCCATGCAATGTTTGTTTATGTAATTGCTAATATGTGTGTGTTGATGTGATTTCATTGAATTTATTAACAAAAACTTAATCAATATTGTAGTGTCCAGACAGAGCGCATGAAATCGATTGATATGTTGCTAATTATAGGAGTCTTCATCTTTCTTTCCTCTCTTATGGCTGTGGGCAGTGTGTGACATATTGTATTTGTAACTTTAGATTTCATAGAAATAAAACATTTTTTTGTGTATATGAATATAACAAAACAATAGCAATAATTTATACAAATATTTTTGTCATATTAAATCTACTTGTAACCCAATAAATTGATGTTAAAATGCTATCTAATTGTAGGATTTCTCATTTTAAGCTACTGGTAATAAAATAAATTGTATAATTATCACAACTTAAACTGATTTAAAGATACCCTGAATGCAAACATAATAACAATATCTCTATGAATGCAGACGTCCAAAGTCCAACGTTTGCTTGTGCATAACTTGTTTAGGTATGCAATAAAAAATATTTGAAATCACACAATAATATTCTAAATAAGATTAAAAAATTCATTTGTATAATAGTCTTCCAATATTTATTTGACAATATATACGTCCTACATTAGGATCCGCTGTTATATGGTGCATACACCAATAGTGGTAGAGTGTAACAACATTTTATCGATTGAATAAATTAAACAATTTACATTTAAAGTCATTTTTTGAATGCATTGAAACTATTTTCTAATGATGGTTACTTTCATACCCATATAAGATCCAAACTTCCCAATCTTTAGTTATGCCATATGTTATGTACGGACTTGAAGTGGAACTAATTCTTTCAATAAACGCAAGATTCTGTCCTTGTTTTAAAGCATTTTATGATTTTTATATGGAAATCGTGCTCGTGCAAGTATGATTCCTTTTGTTATTTGTTTCTTTGATGTTCATTTGATAATTATTTGAATCTAAGATATATCAATTTTTATACCAGGAGGTAAAATATGGCGCAACTGTTCTGATCAACAAAATTAAAATTATAAATAGTAGTAGGAATATTCAAATACTTCTTCAAATTAGATAAGGAGACCAGATTTTGGAAATAAAAATAGATGGCATCAAGAAATAACTATACAATTTATTTGAAAATAGATAAGATCAAGAAAAAAAATATAAATTTACTTGAATTCAATATTTTTCTTTTTAATATTTTACAGAGCCAATTTGTAAAATAAATTAAAATAGTAATATAAATATACAGTGAGTGTAATAAGTATTTTGCCTCAATACAAATTTGACAAAATTCTAATATATACGCCTAAAGCCAGCATACTAAAGATGTAAAATGAATTATGTATGATGGGATATGTTTGTGGACATATTTAGATCTTATTTCTGCAAGAATCACTGCGAAAGACCTATTGGTCTCGAAGATATCGGCCAAAATCTATACCAACCAAAAAATGATTATCACAAAAAAGTATTTTGCTTTTTATTAACATTTTTGAAAAAATCATTATATAAGAACACGCTTTGTCTTTTTATAGTTACCATTGCGGGCAAACACATACTAAAAGCGATTTGGCGACGATTCCAATAAACCACTGCATTTTTTCGAGACCAATAGGACTTTCGCAGTGATTCTTGCAGAAATAAGATCTAAATATGTCCACAAACATATCGCATCACACATAATTCATTTTACATCTTTAGTATGCTGGCTTTAGGCGTATATTTATTTATTTATTCATTCATTCAGTACAAGTTCAATATATGCCTAAGAATAATTCAATATTAATAATAAATTCAAAATTTATACATTTATTATTTACATATTAGAATTTTGTCAAATTTGTATTGAGGCAAAATACTTATTACACTCACTGTATGTATATTGTATATTGCTCTGTTCACATACCAGTAGGAATCTTGTACTAATCGAAATTGTTTTAGATTTCTCTTTATATATTTCGAAAGGTAAAAGTGAAAACACTAGATTCTAAAACCGACAATAGTGTGTCGAAATTTCATAAAGCTTGCAATAAGAAAATAAGTAAACATTTTAAGCACAGCAAAATATTTCCTATATGATTTGACAGACAAAACAAAATCTCACAAATAGATGACAGATAGAGAACATAACTTTTATAGATGACAGCCAGTTAAAATAGATGATTGTCCTCTAAAAAAGAGGACGTAAGGACACCTTATATTAGAGCGATCGTTTGCAGTTCGTGTAGCGAGATTGTGGGACATACATAGTAATCTAAGTGACTTTTCCATTCATCCAAATACTTTAAAAAAATCGAAGTCGCTAATAATTTTTATTTATGATTAGTTTATGATTTTTTTTTATTTTAAGAGACTGTGTGTTAGGCTCTAGATTTAAGTTTGTTATTAATATATAGTTTTAAATATTATTTTCTTAAATGCTTTTCTAATGTATATCTTATCAACAGGGTTGTCCATTAGGACATTGGTTGATTGTTAATAAATAAATAAAATAAATATAGTAATGGTACATTTTCATAGTATTGGATTTAGTAAATCCAGTGACAATTGCCGCCAGTAAAATTGCCTAATGTATTTTTGTTATATATCAAATACATCCCGAAAAAAATTCTAATAAACATGCTGTTTAAAGCCGGCTAAATTTGATGAAAATTAATAATCGAATTTCATTCAGATGTTTGTAAATTGGTTACAAAATCTACATTTAAATTTAAAAATGCCTAAAAGTATGCTCTTTTATTTTGCAGTCATTTTGCAGTTCTGCTTTTTTACGGTATATGAAAAAAATATTTCTGCAGGTCCTTCACCCGACCTGAGAAAATGATGATTTAAATATATTGATGTTATGTTTTTGACTCTATAATATTTAGATATCTATATCTAGATATATGTATATCTGTTTCGTTCACCATTTGGTAATTATTAGTAAAAATCATTAATGGGTATGTCTGTGCTGATAACATACCTTCTTTTAAATCGTAAAACTCCATTATTAAATCTTCATCATCTGGCAATGCTTCGACCAAGTCGACATCATGATGTTTTAATTCAAAGTCAATTTGAGAGGGAAATATGACCATGTCTATGCAATAAGAGAAAATTAAAAATTAAATATTTTTGGAAGTTGTAATAAATAATTGGTATGCTGCACACACTGACCGTTTGCAAAATGTTCATCAGGGGCGAGCCAATTCTCACTAAGATCTTCACATACGGGAAGTAGCTCGCCATTGGGAGGCGAAATTGGTTCCATTTTGCCTTCCCAATACAGATCCTGAGGCAATGCTAATGATTCCATGGTTGTCATATTGTTCATGTCCGTTGATGAAGTTGTCATTAAATTTATAAGATGTTTCAGATATTGATGTTAATGTAAGATGTAAATACAAGGGGTCTTGTCCTAATAAGACGCTTTCCGAAGCTTTGGGAGCCATGGCGGCCCTGAAATGATACGAATAAATTGAAATATATATTATAGATATATAGTAATATTTTACAATAAACCATTTCTTATCTAATTGGTTTTTGATGCATAGTTTTTTTATGTTCGAGTTAAGATTATTGATCGATTTAAATTGGTTGGTTGGTTAAATGTTAGTGGTACATCCAGCACATTGAGCACTGGACCTATGTAATAATTATTGCGAAATTGCATTTGCGAATGACATTTGCTATAGATTCAATTAATGTAGCTGTGGTCGAAGTCTACGAATTGTTCTCCACAACACATCTTCAAAGTTTTAAATTTTGTAGACGTATTCAATATTCAAAGAATTAAAAGCAAAAGAAATAATAAAGACTGACAATTAACTTTTGGTATTCTACGATCCGAAAGCAGGGTCCCACTAGAACAAAGATTGTAACATCAGTCCGCTTGCATTGCTTTATTAGGTCTGCCAAAAAAATTTACATATATGGACATGTATAAGTATATGGACATTTCCGGGAAAAGGGAAAAAAGTTAAAAAGCATGGTACAATTATAAAAGGTAACAGCAAACCCCAGCTGATTTGATTCAAAAGGAATACTAGTGTCATATGAATATGACAAATTATGTTTTTAACAGCCCTGCCTGCGTATAAAAATATAAGGTTGAAATTTTTCAACAATAAAAATGCGTATTTTTTTAAATAGAATTCCAATCATTGAAAAATTTAATTAAGAAAATGTTTTCATCCATTTTCTTCGTTTTCAATTGACACACAAGTAAATAAGGTCCTTGCGTATTTGGGTAAAACGGACGTTCAACAAACCATATAAGGGTTAGAAGATTGATATTTTATTACGCAACGCACTGAATTTAGGTACAGGCCTTAAATGTCCTCCTTTATTCAATTTACTCCATCTGCCTGCTGGGGAATTTTAAAGCAGTAAATATTTCTTCATAGAATAATTCGCAATTTCCAGCATTTTAATATGTGTTACGCATATAACTGTTAATGACTTAATTAGAGAAGTATTAGAGGAAAGCGATAGAAATCAAAATTTGAAAGATTTTCATTCATGTTTTACATTTTACATTTATAAAATAAATAAAATGTAACTCTTTGTTTAGATTCTTCTTATTTTGTTATACCATGCTAAATAAGTAAAGTAATTCTTCTTAGCTAAATTTCTAAAGTAATGTATATAAATGTAGATACTACAGAAATAACCAGAAAGGAAAGTTGAAATCAGACGGGGCCGACCCTTTCAAGACTTTATCCTGTCGATAGAACAGGCATAGAATCTTTGAAGTACCATTGACATGCAATAGTACGAAAGTAAATATGCGATCTGACAGACTTGCTACTATTTACTATTCATTCTAGACTCAATTACCTACGCTGCACAAAATTTCATGTGGCAGCTATATCAAAACGGTTTTATCAAAACATTATACACTTTATTCTAGTCCCAATTGAGTACATTCACAAATTTTCGTCTCCATAACATAATATATACCCTGTACCACAAACTTTTCTGTAATCGTAACCTTCAAATTGTACGAATTCTACCATCAGAATTATTTTTGATTCTTGTAAAAATGAATATAGAGAATAATTTAAAATGATTTTTCTGTCGATTTTTGAATTTGGTTTTCTTGATATTGGACTTAAATTTTTCCGAAAGAATGTACTGTATCTCCCGAAGTCAAGGATGTGGCGATGTCAAATTTTGTGCATATCCTATTTAGGATAGTTGCATTAAATCTGTGAACAGAAATTTGTTCTAAGATTGCGGAAAAAATCGGGGCTCAAAGGGTTAAATAGTATTCATTATTTACAATTACTATATATATTACTATCAGTAATATGAACGTCCGCCGCAAATACTCATCAAGAAAATACAAATGTATGTCAATACACCATGAATACAACCTTGAAGTGTTAACAGTACAATTTTAAGCTAGTTTCATATTCAGAGTTTACTACAATCTTTTAGCCAAAAAAACCTAGCACGTCTAAATAATCAAGAAATACGTGCGTTAAACGACTCGAAAAGATACTGTTAAAATGACAAATAAAGCAATGCAAGCGAAAAAGTTTAAAATTATTGTTGAAAGTGTCAGATGTTTTACTACCTATCACTCTGGATAAGTAAAACGCATAAAAATATGTTTTAAGGGAAGTTTTTTTAGCACCTCAAAATATTGGTCCCTGAACCATATATTGATATGCCGATCGTCATATAGCTGTTATATATAATTTAGCATAGAGTTTGGTATTTCGAAACATTTATAAGGTATAAATGTACCAAACACTTATTTTTATTTTATTTATTTTATGATATATGAAACAAGAACTCTTAACTCAAAATGCCGGCATCATTGTTGGAACCCACTGCTATTTGAAAGTGTTAATAAAATATTTATTTTGTAGAAAAATAAAAAACAAACCTAATATCAACTATAACGGATAAAATATATAATCGTTCTATTTGTTTTTATACCGATTTATACACCATGAGACGAAAAATAGCTTAGGCTAGGAATTCAAGATAAGGCTATATTGATGAAATCAATGAATCGTTAATAAGACGTAGGGTAAACGCACCTAATTCCGGCATGTACCAATAGTCGGCATCTGTTTTATATAACTTCAAATAACTAAAAAAATCCTATAACTAAATATGAAAAATACCTTGAAAAATCTTCAATAACAGTACAATATATCTCTGTATAAAACTTCGTCGAGCTAAGTTCATTTATTCAGTCAAAAATTGGCATTTGGTCAATGAGGTTTATCAACATTATCGATAATTCATGTTTCTTAGTGGTCATAACTATTTCAAAAGACTTGTAACTATACTAAAATTATATTTTTTCACAAGGATCTTCTTCATAATAGTAAAGAACATAGTGGAGAATACTTTAGAATTTAAAATCATTAAAAAATATTTCTAATAATGATATTTTTATCGATGCCGACCTTAGGAACAACAAATATTAAGGTTTTCCTATAGTCGGCATATGGGTGAATAATAAGCACCTTTTCGATCATTTTGGCTCAAAATGGGAACAAATGTTAAAAAAGTCCTCTAAATAACGATTATATTATAAAAATAAGTTTGAGTGTTTTTATATAATAGAAGACACGATTTTAATCTCAAATTCTTTTAACCTCTGAAATGCCTTATTTAGCCATGCCGAGAATTGGATAACAGGTTCCCAATGTCGGCACCATGTTTAATAATTGTAAGATTTTAATAATATTATTTTTTATAACTTTTTCAAACAACACTGATGGAAACGTCCCATAGTAATAATTTATTATTGCAAATAGCAGAAAACCCGATTAAACTATTCAGAACCAGTGTCCTCTTTTTTTGGTGAAGGATTTTGTTTTCTGTTCTTCAACTCGGCGACAACAACTTCAAATTCCTATTATTCACCATTTCATGAATAATTCATATCCAGTTCGCATAGCACGCTTATTCAATTATTTGCCTAATGAGTTGAAAGATTTTAGCATTACCCCGGCTACATACTCTAAACGTCTTCTTAGACATTTCGATTAGTTTCTTTTTAGAATCATCGATAGTCCATTATATGCACTATAATTTTTAGCGCAAAGCGGTTATTTATTTTTTTCATATCAGTTTTAAAACATAAGATATTTGAAGTTTTTGATCTCATTTATTATTTTTTTTTTTGTATCTTATTAAGTTACTTTAATTTTTTTTGTTCTAAGTTTTTTTGGACATTTCTCAATGTCCATGTTTTTAGAGTAGTGCCATATATCAACGATTTTGCATAATGTATTCATAATAATTGGCCAAATAAGGCTTTGTGTACATGTAAGAGTTTAAATAAATAATAAAAAATAAAATATATAATTTTTGTTTTACTAAAATGTGACATGCCGACTATTGGAACATAACATGCCGACAATTGAAAAAATGTGCCGAAGCACTATTTTACATAATTATTAATTTAATCTACTTTAATACAAATTTGTATTCCATCGGGGAGTAAACAACATTTCGAAACAGATGAACCTAAATACAATATTGTGGAAAATATGCACTTGGAATGGTGAAACGTTTAAAAAGCCAAAATTTTTAAAGTGCCGACTATTGGTGCACTTACCCTATATTATAGTTTTCTGTCTAACATAAGTTTTAGCTCTGCAAAAAATTGTTGACCTGTTCGACTATACTACATTGCTAGCTGATTTTATCATAAATAGATGGTGAAGTTTATTTATTAATAAAAACGAATATTTTCTATGAGACGTTTAGACACATTGAAGTTTAACATAACTTTTGCCCAAGTGACGTTCACTTTATTATATGAAGGTGATATTATATTATGGGCCACAAAAAATAACCTATCTAACAAAGTTGTTGCTAAAAATTAGTAAATACATGTCTATGAAATCATTCACAAGAAACCCATATGGTAAAAACAAAACAAAAATAACAACTGCCGCCGCCGACGGTGTTAAAAATAACAACAACAAAACCTGTTGATAACAAACAGCTACAGACAGAGAAGGCTGATAAGAAGAAATTTAGTATTGAACTTGAATGTTTAAATATTTTGCGAAAGGCCCTTTCCCCCAAGCAGAGATACCACTACAACAAAGTAAACAAAGGCATGTGTTCACTCCATTGAAACGAAGTAGTGGCAAATTTGTGTTATATAAAGAACACATTAACCCTTCCAGAATAACAACAACACCGTATAACCACTATAATAGTATATGGACAATTAAAGCGAATGACGGAGCATTTTGGTAACAGTTCGGCCAAGTTAACACACATACATACTACGTACATGTCCCCACTCAATACGCAGCAAGCCACAACAATAAAACAGAATCCAACAAACATCAAACGGGTTGATAACAATTGCAATGTGTTGACATTCATTGTCATAGTGACTGAATGGGAATGTATGTATATTTCTATGTATGTATATAGGGTATATAGGTTAGCAATCAAAACAAAAGTTGAAAAACAACCTGTGCGGACAAATTTGGACAAAATAAACGAAACACACAAACTGTGTATTAGTTTAACCAACGACTTGATAGTTTGAAAAGCACTGGTTGCACATGCTATTGCGTCAGTCATCCGCTTGCCACAGCTTTCCCTCATGCTACGCAGCCATACACGTTGCCCAACAACTGCCACACATGTTGATGTTTTATCTTTCCACGAAATAGGACTGAAAGCAAATTGAATTTCACCAGAATTTCTCCTTACCCCTATCGAACTCGACGATCCGACAAATACCCACATATACGATTTGTTGAAGAAGCCAACAACACAAATACCAACTCGCTCATACACATACGCAACAACAAATTCGTAATCGTGTTATGCCAGCTACAGCAACACACGAAAATATTTATTTGGCAAAAATAACTTCTGCGCTTGGATACGGAAATATTCATGCAAAAATTGATTGAGAATGCTGCACTGCCATGGAACGATACTTACACTTTTGTTATAATCATTTTCGTAGAATGTTTTAAATTTTTGGGGCACTGGTGCCTTTTTTGTTTGCTTTGTGGCAAAATCCGACTATATATCCATTTTCACCGAAATATAAATGCAAAAAACACGGGTAAATATTCAATCTTTTTACGTTTCATTGGGGAAAATGACTGAGGAATCAAAATAGCGAATAGCTGTGTTGAACCGAAATTTTGATTCACGTCAGTGATGGGAATGGCGTACTATTGTTACTTCATTTTGTACACACACCCGTCACTGTTATACGAGACTAAATCAACGCGCATAACGCAAAGGCAACTCACACTATAGCAAATGTGTACTTTTTTAATATAAAGCTAGTAAAAGAGAAACATTTCAAAATCGCTCTCAGAGTACAAACTAATTTGAAAAGTTCGGGACCGCAAATCTAGTAAATATGCCACAATTAGATGACAATACTTCAAAATCAACATAACAGCCAATCAGAAGTAGGCATTTATGTTTACCAGTTTTACTCCGCCAAATTTCTCGAGTAAAAAGTTTACAAAGAGAACGCCATTTTGTATTGTGCTCTCTTAAATTTGATTCAATGTTTTACAAGTTTTGTGGGTTCAGGAACGGGTTTCGAGTAAAAAGTAGCAAAACTTGTAAAATTAGTAGATTCTTTTAGGTTCTGGAACGGAACTATAAACTTCATATTGCTTGAGTCATGATGCAATAATAAGGTGATGTATCATGGTACAATTATAAAAGGTAACAGCAAATCCCAGCTGATTTGATTCCAACGTAATACTCGTGTCAATATGAATTTGACAAATTATGTTTTTAAAAATCAGCCAACAGGAAAATTGGGAACGCATACAATTTGAAATTGTTCTTTATTAAATGTGCTCCCGTATTCAATTTACTCAATCTGCCTACTGGGAAAGTTTGAGAAAGCAAATCTTTCTTCAAGGAATTACTCGCTATTCCCAGAATTTTCATATGTGTTACACATATATATGGCAATGGCTCAATTAAAGGAAAGATGTGGAAGCGATAGAAATATAAATTTGATAGATTTTCATTCATGTTTTTCAATTTTTATTTTGAGGATTCGAAAATATTTCATTTTCAAAATAAAAATAATTTGATGATAGTTTGTTTGTTTACATTTTTCTGTCAAATGAGTTGACACTAGTAGAACTTACAACAACAAATTTCCATGTGGTTGTTGTATCGTTTTTTGTACAACAACACTTGCTGTTACCTTCTATTATTATACCATGGTGATGTATCAAAACAAAAGCCAATGTTTTTGTCACGATTATCTGTCCAATTTTTTCTTATAATATTTCACATGGTTGGTAACATTGCACATTGAATTCAAGTAGATATTACGCACTTTGACAGTTAATCGAGACATCAGCTGCTCTAAATGGACTACCTATTTATTGTGCCATGGGTTAAGTTATACAATACAGATACTAGCCACAATAAATTCGTTCTTTATCACAAACAGCTGATTATCAGATAAACAGTCAAAATACATAAATATCTAAAATATCCACTCCCCTTTGTTCACCCATCTTTTTAATCCCATGCTCGTTAAGGGATAATAAAAAAATGCCTGGTGCCCACGAATTCGGAAAGGTTTATTGGAAAAAAAAATCGAAAGGAACATTCGAGTATCTTAACGAATTCTAAAATTTTAGGAAGAAAAGCACGGAAATTTTGAGGGAATTTTCAATTTTCTGAACAATTTCTAAAGAAACATTCAAAAGTGGACAGATTTTTAGTCAAGTTTTTCAATATTATTTTGAGGATTTAAAAATGTTACATTTTTAAAATAAATAAAATTTTTATTTATCGAATTTATTTGATGGTCATTTTGAATGAATACCATGGGCAGTTATAAGGTCGAACGGTAAGACCTAATTATAAGGTCGAACCTAAGACTAATAAAAACTGAGACTGATGAAAAAACATTTTATATTTTTGTTGTTTATTTTATTTATTTCGCTATTTATTAGTAGCGAAAGTATGGTATTGTCCACCAAGGCAGGGAAGCCTATTTCCCCTCCGAAGCTATTATAGCTTAGTTACAAAACACTTTATACCCAAATGTCACATGTAACAAATACTTAAGTTACCAGCGATACCACCTCACTGAGAAGATTGTTGGTACCTTACTTTGTGGTTAACAAGGCATTTGCAGACAAATGCATACTTTTCCCACTTTCCTAACTATTAACACTTGGCATAAGTACAGAAGGTAGTCTCACTTGAGAATTTGATGATGGAAACCCTTTTTAATATGGAATTCACAATACGACGGGGCGTACAGAAAATACGACGGGGCGTGCAGAAAAAAATTAACTTCCCCACTTTTGCAAAATGTTGTGTACGGCCGTATTACCGAAATACGTCGTATCCACATCTTCAAGCGAATAAAACCAACCGCAAAAGAAAATTGAAAATTTATTAAATTTATTCAAAAATATAAGGTTCACATTCGAAATTTCTTATTTTCTGAATGTTTTGTTTTTATTTTCAACAAAAGAAAAAAATACGTTCTGTCAAAGTTGAAATTACATGTGTGCTGTGGTGAAAAACGTCGAACGAGCTAGTTTAAATTTAGGTAGGACTTGAAATAATATGAAAAATAAATTCCATAAAATAAATTCAAAATAATTTGAAATATACACCTAATTCTGTTTTTACACGAATTTGAAATAACACGAGTAAATACGAAAAAATATTTCTATTGTTACACGACATAATTTGAAATAACACGAATAAAAAAAACAAAATTACTTTTGCTCAAACATCCCTGCCTTAATTAGAGTAACAATCCTGCATGGCATGAATTTCTGATATGGCAACATTTTATGCCATGTTCTGACGGCCATTCGAACAACGTAGTTCGCTCTCAGAATTACCTATATGAATTAACCCGTTCATACAACACTATTCTTAATTTATGTCATCAGAGTTTTTTTATTTCAAACTTTTTGTTTCTTGTTTCACACCAAAATTGTAACATATTTGCGTGAACCACATATGGATCTAAATAGAAAAAATAATTCTCTTTCTCCTGACTATAATATCAACCCCTATCTCTTTACTTTTAATTCATGTTTTCCATTTTTTCTGAAAATATTGTTGTTTTCAATACATTTTTTTATTTTCTCAACTCAAATGTCACATTTAAAAAATGGGAGAATTTTTGTTTGGGTTTCCCCACTTTTGTTTCTCGTTTTGTACGCTAATTGGAACCAAGGGGAAAGAAATGCATATTGCATTATGTAGACAACAAAATTTACATCCTTCTGCATATATAAAAACTAGAATTTTGGTTACTTTTCATTCATCATTTTCAATTTTACTGAAAAAGTTTGAAAAATTTAAAAAATTTTTCAATCTGTCAAAATTAATTTATTTTCGATAAATGCTCTCAATTGTTAGAGATGGGACAAAATTCTTGGTGATTCAGAGAGTGATTCGAATTGAACAACGTACAAAAGTCGGTGTTCGCGCAGACAATTTTGTATGGGGAACTAAGTAATTACTTCATAATTAAGGGTCGAACAACGAATGAGAGAGCGAACAACGCTCATCTGTACATGGCATTATATAATTCTGGTGTGTGTTCTGAGTTATGTCTATGTATGCGTAATTTCTGTTTTACGGGAAATGCGGGATTCCCCGAATTATTGAAAAAGTAAAAATGTACATAATGTATTGTACACACAATTTAGTTCCTATTTGACAATTTTAATTGAAAGATCGTTAGTTTTGGCTGATTTTTAACAGTGATGGCAGTGATATTGTAGTCTTTCGCAAACGTTTTCGTTTATTATCAGACAGTGACAATAAATAAAATTGTTTAATGTTTAAATTTTTCTTATGGTTGTACTTCATGCTATTTAAGTTTTTTGGCAATGAATTTCTGGTATTATTTTTTTTATGAAATCTAAATTTTAATTTATTTTATTATAATTTAGTTTATTTAATAAATTAAAACGAAAATAAATTCTTAAAATAACTACAACAATATTTTTTTATATTATTTAGTCTAATTTTGAATTGAATCAGTGCAGAAACAATTTCTACTTTTTGCACTGAGAGGTTTACATTGGAATAGTGACTTTTTATTGCCTTCTTACACTAGCAGGTTAAAATTAATTCGATTGCCTACATTAAAAAGTAGACGTATTATGTTGAACACTATGATGGTAATTAAAATACTAAACGGTAATATACCCTCAGACTTCTTATTTCATCCATTAGAGTAAATGCTCCTTTTCGATCCAGTAGATATTATGGGAGATCCACTTAGGGAAATATGTATTGATTTCAATTCCGTGTATTCTAAAGTAGACTTTTGCATGAATATAGATATTGTTACGTTCTTGGACTTTACTTATTCCCGTGTAGACGTTGTTTTATTTCCCGATACAGTTCGTACCAAATAAAACGCGGGTTCGTTCTGATTACGATTATTACAATGATTTTATTCACACAACTTTACTTTGCACTTTACTTTACACGACGGTTTCAATTCGCGATCTGATTCACAACTGACTCATTGCCTTTCCATTTCCCCTATTTATATGACCCTTGCTTGTAGCTACAGAAGTTTCTAGACGATCTGGTAACACCTAGATCACGAACAATCTACCAATGCAACAAACACACATACAAACTTACATTGAGTAAACAATAACAACAACACATACAAACTTACATTGAGTAAACAATAACAACAACACATATACAGGTGAGGGGGTAACAAAGAAAGAGGAATTAAGCGATCATCAATGATGACGTTTAACAAGAATTGTACGTCAACAAAAAAATAGACAATGAAAGAGGAAATGGAAGGATGTAGAAAAATCTATACAGTAGTTGTTGTTGTGAAGTTATTCAAATAAACTGCGTAGTAGAAATTTACGTTACAATTCAAATTCTTAAATTAACGGAATTCATCTAATGTAACTTAAATCTAAATTTATATTCGTAACAATATAATAAAATCTTATATAATTGTATTTTTAAATGAATAATACAACTTAGTAACAAACTGGCTGTTGATGGAGTTGGCAACCCTGTTCGAGCGAAGTCGAGTTTTTTGATCGTTTCGTTAATCCTAAGGGAAAAAATAATATTTTGCTGTTTATAAACAATAAAAAATTCTA